GTGAAAGACTTCAGGCTGGCCTTTCTCCCCTTGAACTTGGACCCAAGAGTTCTGTTGCTACATGCCACGTTTTAAAAACGTTTAAGGAAAAGAACAAAGGGTGCTCTTGGTTTTCGTTTTATTTCTGTTAGCGACACACATAGCTCTGGGTTATGCATCGTTATTTGGGGCTCGATAAGGGAGAATGAGCATCACCCGACTTGGGCTAGCCCACCTTCCTGTAGTCCCTTGGACCTGAATGATGAGCAGTTTGTTTTTCTGTGTGTGTGAAGATCCATTTAGGAAGTGAAAATGAATCTGAGTAGCAATGGTCATGAGTCTCTTACCCCTTCTGGTTTCCTTTCGCCATTACGAATCATTAGAGATTCTTTTCATTTTGAATGTCCACCAGAAACAACACTGCTTTTCAGCCACTAAAAAAAACCTCAGTGTAGGCGCAGCTGAGCAGGAAATGCTGGTCTCTCCTCTGTAGTGTATGCCTTAAGTTTACATGGTGCTGGGAATCAGGCATCCCCCATCTCGGTCACCCTGTAGAAGCATGTGATCTGCATCCAGTGGATGCACCTGCAGCAGGAGGTGCACAGGTTGAGCCCCTTCCTCTCACATCACATCGTCTGCTTCCTGTGGGTACAGACAGTGCTGCTGGTGCAAGGCACGGGGAACCATGCCATGCTGATGGGTCCTATCCATTCACTTCCTCCCTCCCAATGCAATACCCTGAGCCTGTGGATCTCCCAAGTGCATCATCAGGGGTCTTACCCTGGGACTGCCTTCTTCAGCCTCCTTAAGTAAGTTCTGTCCCTATCTGAACTTATAGCTGAGATGCCAAGGGTTGTTTATTAAAAGCCACTTTTTATTTACATACAGATCTTGCCACATACATACTTTGTGGTAAGGCATAGTCATATCGACCGTATGGCACTCTTAGAGGCTTTTTCCTTGGCTTTTGTGTTTACTACTCTCTCTCCCCCACCTTTCCCATCACCTTCCACCTCAGTCTGTAGTGTCTCCTTGCTATTTTCCTAACCTAAATCTGTGGAGATATAGGAGCTTTGGATGCTATGATGGTGTGCAAGTAGGAGACTTTCTCTAGAAGCCATATTTTGAATTTTGACACTCGGTCTTTTCTGGCCAGCAGCACACAGCATGGGCAGCTAGGTAGGAGTGTCCAGCTACAGCTCTTCGGAACCTGGCAGTCGTGAGAGGAAACAGCTGATGCCCTGTAGCGCACTGTGGTGCTCAGTCACGGTGCTTGGGAGACTAACTGTATTAAATGCAGTTTCTACATAGGTAGAAATGTATTTCCCACATATAGTGAGTCCCAGGCTGTAACTGCATTGTGAACTGAAGAACACTTGTGTCTTTACAACACTACAGTGATCTGGCATTATCCAGAAATGATATGATTTATATACACTTTACAACATCTAAATTCCTCCCCATACCCCAAAAACTTCCCCTAGACCACCTGGCAGATTCCCCACCCTTTGAATGGCTGCATACTATTCCCTGATGCAAACAGGCATTGTATACTCAACTATGATTCCCATTCTGAATAATAATGAAATAAACATTCTAGCACAGATGACTTCATGTATTGGTACCTTTAGTTCTGCAGAATAGATATCACATCTATTAGTTTTTAACTAATGTAGAAACTTTCAGATGGACTTCCTGAAAGCTCTCTGACCTTCAGCAGGAAAGTGAATGCGCCCTGTTTTCTGCCCACTTCTTGACTCTGGTGACTATACCTGCCCACCTTTGGATGTTAGGATGGTGGTGTGCAATGCCCCTTTGCTCTGTCTTCATAGCATTTTCCTGAACTGCCTTCCCACAGACATTTGAATTGGCCTGAAGTCATTTGCCTACTCACGTTTCTTGCCTGTTTCGTATTGGATCATTTGCCTTGTAAAGTCCCCCTGTAAGAACTCCCTGTGTGTTGTGTGTGACAAGAAGTCCCAAAGACAGGTGGAGGAGCCTGGGCTTTCTGCTGGGCTCCAGGTGAAGCCGGAATGAACTTGGCTGTACTCCAGGCTGGGCAGATGTTAGGACTGGGCTTCCTCCCTGGATATGAAGTCAGATCACATGGAGCCAGGACGCATCCCCCTATGGAGGACTGAGAAGGTGGGGCAGTTCCATACCGTGCTGTCTCCCATTGGTTAAGACCTCCGACAGTAAAGGGCTGGCCAGGCAAAGGATGTCCTTCTCCATCACCTTGGAGGGGCCGCACTGTGCTGGTCCACATTTTGTAGTGTTGCCTGTCCCTGACTCAGGTGAGGGACAAGGCACAGAGCTAGTGTCCTCCTGCTGTGCCCACCTTAACTCTTCCAACAGACGGCACAATTGGCTGCTGCTCCTCTGAGCATCTCAGGAATTACAGGAAACCCAGCTCTCAGTTAGCAGCGATGTCAAAAGCTTGACAGTGACGGGTCACCCATGGCACTGTTAGAGGAGCATAAACAGTGGGACTCTGAGCCCTTGGCACAAGTGAAAGAAACCTGAGGCTCACGTGACAGTCAAAATGGCAGAGCAGCAGTCAGATCATCTCAAATTTATGAAATAAACTAGATTCACTGTAGGAGCATCCCCTCTTCTGTTTATGTCTCGTCATTAAAAGGAGCCCTGGAAAGGATTGATTCAAGGTAGAAGAAAACGGAGTTCTCAACAATAACAAAGATAGGGTATATAGAAAAATTTAGGTAAAGCTAGATATTAAACTGTTTCTAATATTAGCATCATGTTAATTAACTAACATCATGTAAAAAAGTAAATATTGTTTAGATTACTTTTTACTTTTTGGATTAATATTTGGCCAGCATACAGAGGACTGGGTTTCACGTGACATTTTCATATATATGTCCATATTTGTTCTTGCTTGTGCCCTCCTCAGCCATCTTGCTGGTCTTCTTTCTCCCCTAAATGGTTCTACCTTCTGTTTCTATGACATATGTATTCTGTTATCCTTTCTTGTCCCCTCCCTAGCCCTATAGACTCGTTTCTCTACTTTCTGCATCCATGTCTGACACAGATACACACCATTTGTATATAAACTTAAACCTCCATTCTGTATCTCAGGGAAACCATGGTGTTTCTGGTGTCATTGATTTCCCTGCGAATGTCATAATCTCACTTTTCTTTGTATGCGTATACCATCATCTGTTGACAGACACCTAAGCTGGTTCCGTATCTTTTTTAAAAGTACTTTACTTGTTTATTTTTAATTATGTGTATTTGCGGGGTGTGCACATAAGTACCCCTGGACCTGGAGTTATAAGTGGGTGTCATCCAGCATGGGGGCTGGGAACTGAACTTGAGTTCTCTGTGAGGGCAATGTGTGCTCTTAACTGTTAAGCCATCTCTTCAGCCCCTGGTTCCACATCTCGACCATTATGAATAGTTCAGCAATAAACATGGATTGCAAATATTTCTGTGGTATGTTGACTTTGACTTGTTCCAATATATGTATACTATGTACAATACAGATAGATATTATGGTATTTATGGATTTAATTTTCTAAGGACCTCCAAATACTAATAAGCATAATAACTACACTAACTTGCATTCCCGCCAGCCTTAGAGAAAGGTTCATTTTTTCCTAAGTCTTGGCCACTATTTGTTGGTAATTTTTTTTTTTGATGATAGGTACAAGAGCGTACATAAATAGGCTTAAGACAAAAATCACATGATTTCTCCTCAGGTGCAGGAAAGCCTTGAAGAAATGAAGACAGATAGAACATACCTCAGCACCTATTGCAATCAGGGATATTAGTCTGTAGTTTTCTCTTTGCTGTGTCCATGTCCGGACTTGGCTACTATCGAGGTAATGTTGGCTTTATAAAGAGAGGATGGTAAGGATGCTTCTTCTTTTATTTTACAGAGTAGCTTTGAGACAAATTTGTATTCACTTCTTCATTTAAACGTTTGATAGAATTCAGCAGTGACCCCACCTTTCTTTGTTGGGAGACTTTAATGCCACTGCCTGTAACAAAACTGCTTAAATTGTTCGTGTCCTCTGGACTTTAATTTTGGTGGGTCATATGCAGATAGGAATTTACTCATTCCTTCTGGATCGTCCAGTATGGAAAACATCTTCAAAAATGTGTGCAAATCCCTCGGAGTTCTTTAGGATCTGATATTCCCTCCTTCAGTCCATCGCTAGTTTTACACACTGGGATAGTCTCTCATTATTTTGGTCAGACTGGTTAGAGGGTTGTCATTCTGAGATTATCGTTTTCAAAGAGCTGACTTTTTGATTGATTTTTATATATTATTCCTTTAGTTTACATTTCATTAATTTCTGTCCCTGTCTTAATAATTTCCTGTCATCTACTCCTTTGGTGTTTAGTTTGTTCATTCTGTAATACCCTGGGGTACATCATTAGCCTTTTGTTGCAACCTGCCTCGATTTTTAATGTAAGCACACGGAGTGATAAATCGTCCTCTGACTGCACCCCAGAGGTTCTGCTTTCGTATTCACTTGAAAGTTCCTCCCTGGCCTACTTCTACATGTACTTCCTCTCTGGTTCTGCTGCACTAGGATTTGTTGATGCCTTTGTATTTATTAAGACTTTGAGAACAAGGAGTCCTGCTCCACGGGCCACAGAAAAGAACTTATAACTTAAAATCCATGTCTTTTGGATAGATAGATATATCTCTAGTTTACAGAATAGTTTAGCTCTGAAATTTCTTTGATCTTTAGTTTGGATGTCCTGTCTGGAAATGGGATTGAGTATTGAAAGCACCAACTATCATTATTATGTGAGGAAATTTCTAACTTTTATGCTCATTATTTGTTTTGTAAAATTGGGAACCCAGATATATATACCATATATACACCACACACATATATTTATTATATATACATATTTACAACATGTACATATACAGATGTTCTATTTTTCGTGGTCTTTTTATGGACTTAACAGATTCTTTAATTTTATGATCTCTGCTGCTGCTCCCTCAGGACCTGGTAGCATGAGCAGTCACTGGCTAGTTCACTAAGCCTGGTTCTCCCTTGGCCATGATGCTTCCTAAGTCCTCAGAAGAACCCAAAGGGTCTAACTATTATTTTTTAACTTTCAGAGAAAGTTTGTCTAGATCCATACATTTGGCCCATTTCCAACCCTTTCACTAAAGAACAGATGCCTCCTTTTTATGGCCTTGGAGTTGTCAGCATATTGTGTGGGTGAGTTGTGTTCCTCATGGAAAAGACTTAGTCACTGGCCAGTGAGATGGCTCAGCAGAAAAGCATTAGCCATGCAAGCACGGCAACCCCAGAACCTAGGTAAAGATGGAGAGAAACACTGATCCCACCAAGGTGTCCTCTGGTCAGCACACCCATGTGGCAGTGCACACAGACACATCCCAGGGAAGGAAAACAGTGATCCCACAGTAGTGTCCTCTGGCTGCACACCCATGCTACGACACACCCAGATACATTCCAGATTTGGTCATTACAATTATGCCACCGCATTTAGGTCCCCAAGTGGATACTTCAGACAATGCATACACCATTAGTTTTCTTCTCTCACCCTTAACTGGAAGTGCCAAGCAAGTTTGTACCATTTAGTTAGGATGAGCAATAAAGAAGGCTAATTATTTGTCATATGTCTTGAGCACTTATAAAATGCCCAGGAAAAAGAGAAAGACAATACCAGACAGGCATCCACTAGTCATTCTCCTGCTACCTAAGACTGTTCCTCTGGACTTCTTATGGGTCTTGTGAGTCCTACAAACTCTAAACATTGCTGGTCAATCTTGACTTATCCTGTACACGTGTTTCTACTTTGGAACCTACGTGAGTTATAACCATGGTGCTCCTTAAGATCATTGAGACCCGGCTCATCATTTGATTTAAAGGCAACAGTTTAGGAGTCTGCTTTACATTTTGTGCATATTTTGAAAGCATATAATAATGGCTTTCGGTATGGTCAGTTTCTTCTAAATACATTGTTGTAATCACCACTCTCAGTATGTAGAGCTTGGAATCAAACCCAGGCACTGTGTATGCTGAGCAAGCTCTGTAAGATTTCCAGGCCTTAGCAGTTTCTTGATATACAGGGAGACACTTTTCTTCGGAAGAGAACGCTTAGTGCAAGAAGGGCTAGACACATTTTTCTTAGACATTGGCATTTAATGCTTGAGTGTTAATGAGGGGAGGAAAGACACACTCCAAGATTTATACCATGAAAAGGAAAGTTTTGTCCTCAACAAACATGTATAGGATCTGTGTGTATATAATAATGATTATTGTTGTTCTTCCTCTCCCCTGACCCCTGGATGCAGACACTGCAGAAGGAATGAGAAGTGAAGAGCCCCTTGTGACCATGGAAGACAGCTGGAGGCCTGATGACACTGAAGGGCAGAGCGGCCCTTGTCCAGGGCTGGCACCCGCCGCTCCGGGCCATCTGGGGGCGCCTTACTCCGAAGCCTGGGGCTACTTCCACCTGGCCCCGGCTCGGCCCGGGCACCCGACGGGCACCTTGGCCACCTGCCGGCTGTGCGGGGAGCAGGTGGGCGGCCACCCGGGCTTCCAGGCGTGGACGCGGGCCCTGTGGCGACACCTGAGCGGCGCGCACCTGCGGGAGCTGGAGAAGAGCGGTGCTGGTTCGGAGTAAGGCGCCCCCAGATGGCCTTTTTTTTTTTTTTCCCCCAGATGGCCCGGAGCGGCGGGTGCCAGCCCTGGACAAGGGCCG